ACCTTTTGTGGTTACGAGGCAATAATGGGCAAAAGTCCACCCTGCTCATCTACCAACACCACCACCAAACTGTTTGAAATTGAGCAATTCAACTTCTATTTGTTTGATACATTGGCATTCTATACTTACTAATAAGATTTTCTGTGGATATGTTTCTGCCAATTAAAAAAAAATAGACAGCAACTGTGTTATTCAATAATGAGGCTCCACAGTGATAACCTTGCCATTCCACACTAAAAGTAAGAGGAAGAGCATCAGAGTAGACAGAAACAACAAGATCTATTGTTACTGTGAAATCCATGTGTGAATAGTGTCTCTACACAATGCTCAAGAACATGACCTTTCGTCTGGACTTACTCTTTCGTAAATACAATTCCAACAAGTTGTTATTGTATGTACATGTTAAGTTGCTTGCACTTCAAGCAGTAACTTAAAAGAACTGATCATCCATAGCAGGCTGGCAATGTCTTCAAAGGGATGGCTTGAAAGCAGGGAAAAAGTAGAGCATGTACCCAAAACAGAAAGAAACAAACAAATATTTACAGAATTTGGTGACCACTTTGTGGAGGGGGGAAAAGAAAAGCTATGTGAGTCTTATTAATATCTGAAGGGATCACTATTTAATAACCAAGTGATGAATTCAGATTAAAATAATATCAATTCATTAAGAAATAGTTGGTTATGAATTTCCTAATTAGACAGAAAATTTTGAAGTTAAAGGACCAAGTTTCAAATTCAAAATTGTTATTATAAAATTTGTTTTTTAAAAAACTGTTATGCCAGTTAACCTTTCTGAAACCCATATTCATGTCTTTAAATAATAATATTTAAGTAATAATATTAAACCAACTTAAAAATGATAATACCTTTTTTAAGATGAAAGTCAAATGCACTATTTTAAAAATAGTATTTAAAAACAAATTGCAAAGCACTTGCAAGTCAGGCTTATTATGCTCTGCCTAAAGAGAAAAGGATACCCATAATATTCTTTAGAATAGTCTCTATACCATTTACTTTTCATTAAATTCAACTTAATTTTAAAATTAAATGCTTAAGGAGAGTAACCTCTGATAGACAGTAAATGCACAGAAAAATATTTTTAAAAAACTTAGTAGGGAAGAATTAATAAATATGTAGATGTTAAACAATGTAACCCTAAAAAACAAATTGGTCAATAATTAAATTACAAGGAATATTAGAAAACACTTTGAGATGAATGAACATGAATATGTAGTATATGGAAATGTATGGGATGTAGCAAAAATAGCCTGAGAGGGAAATTTATTGGTGTAAACCAACAATTATTAAAGAAGAAAGATGATTTTAAATTAATATACTAACCTTCTAACTTAAGAATTTGGAAATAGAAGAGCAAACTAAACCTAATGGGAGCAAAAGGAAAGAAATAATAAAAGATTAGAGAGGAAGGAAGTATAATAAAAGTAATAGAGAAATCAATGAAATCAAGTTATTTTTTAAAGATCAAACAAGTCAATAAACTTTTAGTTAGACTGACAAAAAAGAGGACACAGATTACTAAAATAATGAATTAAAGAGAAGACATTACTACCATCTTAACAGAAATAAGAAGGATTATAAGGCAATGCTATGAACAATTGTGTGCCAACAAATTAAAGAAGCTAGTAAATGGACAAATTCTTAGCAAATCAACAACTAGACAAGTAAGTCAAGAAATAATAGAAAGTCTAAATAGACCTATAATAGATACAAAGGTTGAGATACAAACTTTTTTCACAAATAAAATACAAGGACCAGATAGTTTTACTGGTAAATTCTGACAAATGTAAATACTTTTTTTTTTTTTTTAAAAAATTATCTTAAGGAAAGAAAGAAGAAAACAATATGCCTCACTCCCCCCCCTAAACACCTCCAATCCACTCTATACCAGCCAGGGCTAAAGAATAACTCTTCATAAATGCTTCCAAAAATTGGTAGAGAAGGGAATACTTCCCAATTCATTCCATGAGGCTAGTACTAACCTCATACCAAAATCAGACAAAAACATCACAAGAAAATCCCCCACAAAGCTACCAACCTAAATCTCATAAGTGTAGGCACAAAAATATTCACAAAATAACATGTCATATCCAGCTATATACATATAAAAAACATTATATGCAATGACCACCTGGGATTTATCCAGGAATTGATTTCAGCATACAGAAAGCAATATTATATGTCATATTAAAATGAGAGAGAGAAAAATCACATTATAATCTCAATATAGTAGGAGGACATATATGACACAGTCCAACATCTTATAAGAACACTCAACCAACTGCTAATAGAAGAGTATTTCCTCAGCCTGATAAAGGACATCTGTGAAAAACCCACAGTAACATCATACGTAATGATTAAAGACTAAAGGCATCTCCTAATAATTAGGAACAAAACAAAGATACCTCCTCTCACCACTTCCATTCAAGGTTGTATTGAAGGTTCTAGCCAGGGCAGATAGGCAAGAAAATAAGATAAAAATCACCCAGATTAGAAATGAAGAAGTAAAATTGTCTCTAATTGCAGATGACTCTTGGATATAGAAAATCCTAGGGGACCCCCCCACACAACACATGCACAAATTGGAACCAATAAATGAGCCCAATAAGATGGCAGGATACATTTTTACTATTTGAAAATAAATTCTATAGTAGCAATGAACAATCCAAAATGAAATTAATAAAGCGATTCCACTTACAACATCATCACAATGAATGGAATATTAGAAATAAATTGAACAAAAGAAGGACAAGCCTTTGATACTGAAAACTGTAAACATTACCAAAAGAAATTTGAAAAAAACCTAAATAAATGGAAAAACACCATATTCATGGATTGGAAGAATTAAGGCTGTTAAAATGCCAACATTTCCCAAAACGATCTGCCCAAACGGATTCAATGTAATCCCTATCACAATCTCAGTTGACTTCTTGAAGAAATTGGCAAATTGACTCTAAAATTTATATGAAAAATCAAGTGATTCAGAATAGCCAAAACAATCTTGAAAAAGAAGAAAAATGTTGGAGCACTCATTTCATAACTTAATGCAAAATTATGGTAATTAAGAGTGTCTAATGCTGGACAAGGATAGACATAAAGATAAGTGGAATAAATTTGGAAGTCCAGAAAAACACCCATGCATTTATAGCCTATTGATTTTCATTAAGAGTGACAAGACAATTCAAATCAGGAAATAATAGTCTTTTCAAAAAATGGTGTTAGGACAAACACATAATTACATGTGAAAGAAGGAAGCCAAACTTCTACCTTACATCCTATACAAAATCAAAAACTTAAATGTAAGACCCCAAACTATAAAATCCTCAGAAAAATACATTGGTGTAACTCTTGTGACTTGAGTTGAGCAATGGTTTCTTAGATTAGACCCTACTGCACAAGTGACTGAAGAAAACTAGAGTGTCATCCCAAACTATGTGTCTTGGACAAAAGTTTAAGCTGAAGGCAATTAAGAAACAGCAAATGCAGGAAAAGCTTTTCCTTTTCTGCCTAAAGGCAGGATATATATTCTTTTATGGAGACAAACCTTTATCAGCCCAGAGAAGGCACCAGAGGAATTTGCAAACAAAACTTAGTCCATTAAGTTTCCTTTCATATATTTACCTTCCCTCAGTCTGCCACCCTAGAGAGGCTTAACCATTTTTCTTTGTCCTGTCATTCTCTATTTTCCTTTATCTTTTTTCTTTTTACAGATTTATTGGGTTTTTTTGTTGTTGTTGTTGAAGATGGTATATAAGCTGAATTCTAAGCTGCTGTTCTGAGTTACTTTTCGTTCTAAGTTTCTCACATGATGTGCACTGCATGTGTTAATAAACTGTTTTTTTTTCTTTTTGGTTATAAGTTTTTTTGCTAAGTCCCCAGCTGAAAACCTAAGATGGGTAAAGTTTTGCTTACTCTACATGACAGAAGAAAATATAAATTTTGCTTCATCAAAATTAGAGATTTTAATTCTTTGAAGGATACCACCAAGAAAATGAAAAGATAACCTTTAGAATGGGTGAATGAATTTGAAAATTACCTACCCAATGGAATCTAATTCAAAATATATAAAAAACCTTTACAACCCAACAATAAAAAGGCAAATAGTTCAATTTTGAAAAATGGGCAAGGGCTTAAAAAAACATTTCCCCAAAGAAGATATACAATAGTCAATGAGTATTAACTCAACATCATTAGTCATGAGGCTAGCTAGTCATTATCTCATTAGTCAAAGAGATGCCATTTCACAATCCCTGGAATGGATATGATGAAAAAGACAGACAACAAGTATTGGTTAGAAAATAGAAAATTTTTACTCTCATACATTTCTGGTGGAAATGTAATACAACGCAGCTCTTCTGGAAATCAGTTCTTTAAGAATTTAGACATAGAGTTACTACATAGTAACTCAGCATTTCAAGGTATACACCCAAGAGAAATGAAAATACATGGTCACACAAAAACTGGTAAACAAATGTTCTTAGCAGAATTATTTATAAGAGCCAAAATGTAGAAACAGCCCAAATGTCCACCAATGAATAAATAGATCAATGAAATTTAGTTAGTAATCCATATAGTGAAATATTATTGTCATAGAAAAGAATGGACTACAGAAACATGCTACAGCATGGATGAACCTAAGAGCATTATACTAAGTGAAAGAAGCAAGACACAAAAGGTCATAGATCATGTGGTTCTATTTATATGAAATTTCTAGAATAGGCAAATCTATAGAGACAGAAAGTGGATGCCAGGAGCTAAGGGAAGCTGAGAGTAGCAAGTGACTATTAACAAGTACAGGGCTTCTTTCTGGGGTGATGAAAATATTCTGAAATTGGATAGCGCTGATGGTTATACAATCTTGTGAATATACTAAAAACACTGAATTCTGTACTTTAAAAGAATATACAATATGATATATGACATTATGGTGTGCAAATTACACATAGAAAGGAAAAATAGTGGCAAAACACATTATTACTCACCTTCACCTTTAGCCATAGTGGTTATTGAAGTAAATGAGGGCAGTGGAGATGTTTGTCCAGAGTCCTTGATAGTCGTTCCTAGTTTGAGAAGATAGATGGCATTATTATTAATCACAATTTCATCTCCCCTGCCAAGCAGTAAATAAAAGTCAGTCAAATCTGGAGGTGGACTGTAATGCGTCTATAGAGGTACTGAATAAATTTGCCTATCTTTATTTTGTGCATTTTCCAGCTTCCTTTATCCAAAGTAGGAAATGTAAGTACTGGATATTTGACTGGCCTATGGAAATGCACACATATACATACATGCACACACATTTTTCTATTAGAGGCCTCAAAGCAAGGTTTACTACAGTTTGTTACCCAAGGATCTTAAAATATGCAAAAAATATTATTGTAAAAACAAATGATTTTCCCATGGGAAAAATGACCTGGTCAATACGACCTGAGAATAACATGCCTTTTTTTTTAATGAATCACATTTCATTTTGTTGATTTAAGACTGAAATTTCAGGTTTATTTTTGCATTTTAGAAGTTCAATTTATGATAATCAGTGTCTGCGAAATGTTGATTTTCAATTCTGTCCATTAGCCTTTGATACAAATTTAGGAAGAGATCAAGTCCTGTCTCTAATTGGGCAAACCTCCCGAGAGCAAGCCCTGCTCCAGGCAGGGCTCTATCCATCACCTTTGCCATTGTTGCAAAGGTTCTCATATTAATTGTACATTTTTCACTTTTCTGATGTTAAAATTTTTGCCATTTTCAGGAGAAAGAAAATGTGCATGCTTTAGAATACACTTAAGCACCATCACCCTGACTGATGTGGCTCAGGGGTTAAGCATCATCCTGCAAACTGCCAGGTCATCAGTTTGGTTCCTGGTCAGTGCACATGCCCAGGTTGCAGGCCAGGTCCCTGGTTGGAGGCATGCAGGAGACAACTGATTAATGTTTCGTATATCGATGTTTCTCTCGCTCTATTTCTCCCTCCTTTCCCCTCTCTCTAAAAATTAATAAGATATTTTTAAAAAGATTATATTTATTTATTTTTAGAGTGAGGGGAGGGGAAGCAGAAAGAGAGGGAGAGAAACATCAATGTGTGTTTGTCTCTCGAATCCCCCCTACTGGGACCTGGCCTGTAATCCAGGCATATACCCTGACTGGGAATCGAACATGAGACCTTTCTGTTTGCAGGCCAGTACTCAACCCATTGAGCCACACCAGCCAGGGCAATGAGTAAGATCTTTAAAAAAAGAATACACATGTACATTATGAAATCAAGTGTCTTTTGATCTTTAGAAAAGATAATACGATTGGGAAGCTTTACAATGAAAATAAAGGAGCTTCTCCATGGCATGCTTTTTTTGTTGTTAAAACTTTTATTGTGGCTAAAATGACCATGTTGGCCATGATAATGAGGGGAATATGGAATCACTTCACTGTAGACACACGTTTTGTGATATTATTGTGTAATCTAAAGATAGTTATTTTGGAGGATGATATATTGTATAAAACTCCTCAACATGCAAATCCTCTCACAGGTCTGAAGTTAAGAAAACATTATACTGATACACTGCTTAGAATATGAGAATTCAAAGCTAATTTCTCATCACCTTCATTATTTGTGTATTAATTATATTGCTTTTAGGGTCATGGGCAATGTCCGGTATACATAGTTCACCTTCCTTACATCCTAATATAAAAATGCTGATGAAGTAAGCCAGACAGAAAGCAGTTCCTTTCTCTGCCTTCCCTCCCTGCTAATTTTCCAATAGACATCATGGACCCTCAGCTGCCTGATGGCCCCCTCAATCCCAGCCATCATGCCAGACTTTCTGTTGCCCATCCTGTGTTAGAGCAGACTGTGGCCACAGAGCCTGCCTTCCTCCTCCATCTGCCTCCGACCACCACTCTCCCAGCTGTCCTCCTGAGAGACTCCAGAATGGACTCATTTCCTTCCCCTAACCCCTCTTCACTGCTAAATTTAAGGTTACTATATTTTTTAACCTGTTAAATCCCTCCAAACAAATATTAGATGATTCTAAGAAATTGTTATTAACTTCAAGGATTTCATAATGACATCGTAGCTATGTAATAAATTGTCTATATTTTTGAGATGCACATTTAGTATGTAGACATAAAACAGCATAAAGTCTGGATTCCATTTGAAATATTTTACAACCAAATAAAAAGAGAGAAGTGAAAGAAAAAGAAAAAAGAAGACAGGAAAAGAAAGAGGGAGGGAAGACAAAAAATAAACAAATGTGATAAAATCTTGGTTCTGGGAAATGAGCATATTGATATTAATTAATAGAACTCTCTAGGAACTATATGAACATTATTATAAAAATAAGAAACAAAACTTCTCTAGCCAATTACAATTTTTACCATTGAATGTGAATAATTTAAATATTTTCTGGGGTACTTTTGAAAACCACAGACTAGAGTTCAACTTTTGTTAACTCGGGATTATGAAGCAGTAAATGTCCCCATGAAAAGGAATGAGAAGTGTGTATGTGTGTGTGTGTGTGTGTGTGTGTGTGTGTGTGTACACACAATCTCGAGTGTTCTAGGCACTTGCTTCAGGAAAGGGTGTTTCATGGTCCCTTTACAGAAGCCCCCAACTATAAAGGCACTAAAAATGTCTCTCAGCTGTGCTTTACATGAGTAGGTACCGAGTTTTCCTTCCAAGTCAGAAACATACGGTATATTCCTGGTATCAGAAATGACAATTCTGTCTGAATTCCTTCACTGAATGCCTTTTCATTGTCTTTCACATAGTGGTTATGATTTGTATTATTTGGATAGCATTATGCATCACAAATCATTGTAGGCAGGATTAGGGGTCTTTCTATTGAAAAACCGTAAGTTCCAAATAATTAACATAATAATTATGGAACTTCAAACTTTTGGGTCTGCATGTCAAGCCAGTATTTACTGGGGGGAGCATTATTAACCCTGGAAATAGAACTGAAACAATTTTTAAAAACCATAAAAGTACATTGTGTAGGAGAGGACTGGAGGCTTCATATTTCCTGATTATGTCATTCGGAGCTTCTGTTGGTTGGAAATAAAGCCTGCACTACATTCTGGAAATAAAATTCCCTGTGGTGTCCTCATTGTGTGATGCTTTCTCCTCATTTGTAGAGAAATTCTAGGCATTTAAGGTTTCACCTTAAAATTAAACAATTCAGAAATAATGGACTATGTTCATAATATCCTCTTTGAGAATCACCACCACATTCAGTCCTAATTAACTAGCCCTCATGTGTCCTCAGCATGTGTTTAAATTTGGCATTCAAACAAGAGGTAAATGAAGAACACAGAGGCAAGAAAAACAGCTGTGGGAATTTAGTCAGTCATTCATCAGGGTGTGTGATTATCAGGTCTTTCTGTGAACTTACCATTCTAACCAGGTTTTCTGCCCCCAGGTGATCAACAAACAATTTTATTTTTCCTCTCCTTTGCTTATTGGACCTGAGTGAGCTGCCTCATTTTATTATGCTGTAGGACAAACAGCGAAGTATTCACTGGATTGATAACCTCTTCAGTTTTTCATTCAATGATCTCAATGGCTCCTTTTACTTTTCATGGATGGTAAGGTAATTCCGTTTAATACCTAGAGCCATAAAACGTGATGCCGTTGTCATTCAGTCCAGTAACAATAATGATGACATTGTTACTGAAACCTACAAATTAAAGCTGTAACCAGCCTGATAAAACTAACAAAATCAACTTGTTATTAGCACAGTTCTACCTTGTCAGCTGTGCTGCTTAAGTGGAGAACTAAAACATTTAGAAAGATATTTTTATGACTTAGGAAATGGTGATTTTATTCTACTCTAAAAATAAACTTTGTGTATGTAACCTTCATAATAGGATAATTCTCCAACAGGAAGTGACCCAAGGGGACATTAACAAAGAAGCCTACTGAGATCTCAGGGTTCTGTACTTAATCCAAAATAACATGAGTTTCAAAATAGTAAAATAGCACAGCACTTCATAATAGAAATAAGGTCCTAAATTATTTTCCTGTCATTAAATTACATAGGTGGTACTAATTTTATTTGTTAAAGTTAAGAGTAAATTTCACTAAGCATTTATCCTACCATTGGGAGATGTTCCAACTGTTGATGTCATAACAACATCTGGTGATGACGACTTTGTGACTTGCGTTGGGACAGAAGTTCCTGTTGCAAGAGCTGCTGTTGAGCCTAATGCAGGAGTGGTCTGATTATCTGAAAAAGTAAATTATGTTGAAGTAGTTACAGTAAAACTTACATTTATTTTGCCCAATCTCAGACTATTACATTTAAGTAAAATAAACTATATGTATGTTACTGCTAACCCAGTCAATGGGCCATGAGTTTGAAATTAATTTTCTGATTGTTATGAATTCAGCCTTGAGGTTATTATTCACTCGCAACCCCATCTGCTTTTCACCAATGACATGAATTTTCAGGATGGCTGGAAGGAGCAGTCTGTGGGTCTGAAAGAAAACAGTGTCTGAAAAAACTAGTAAGGAATGAATGTGTGAATTCGAAATTTAACACTATTTTTAAGTCAGCTAAACTAATGTCAGATAAAATAATTAAATAGGCACTCTCTGGACAGTGAATATTTTACTAAATATTATAATATTCAACATGCTTAAATTTTTTGTCATCAAGCCACCACAAATCTGCATTTTCAAATGTTTTACTTTTCTAAATTATAACAACCAAAGGCACGGAAAGAAAGGCAATTGTGATGTATATTATTTATTTACTTTTTAAAAATATATTTTTATTGATTATGTTATTACAGTTGTCCCATTTTTTTCTCCTCTTTATTCCCCTCCTCCCTGCACCCCTCTTCCGCCAGCATTCCCCACCTTAGTTCATGTCCATGGGCCACAAATATAAGTTCTTCGCTTCTCCATTTCCCATACTATTTGTAACCTCCCCCTGTCTATTTTGTACCTACCATTTATGCTTCTTATTCCCTGTACGTTTTCCTCCATTCTCTTCCATCCCCCTCCCTGCTGATAACCATCCATGTCATCTCTATTTCTGTGATTCTGTTCCTATTCTAGTTGTTTGCTTACCTTTTTTTTGTTTCTGCTTTTGTTTTTTTTAGGTTTGGTTGTTGATTGTTGTGAGTTTGTTGTCATCTTGCTGTTTGTATTTTTGATCTTCTTTTTCCCTTTAATATTTCATATAATAAGGTCTTGGTGATGATGAATTACTTTAATTTCACCTTATCTGGGAAACACTTTATGTGCCTTCCCATTCTAAATGATAGCTTTGCTGGATAGAGTAATCTTGGATGTAGGTCCTTGCCTTTCATGACTTGGAATACTTCTTTCCAGCCCTTTCTTGCCTGTAAGGTTTCTTTTGAGAAATCAGCTGATATTCTTCTGGGAATTCCTTTGTAGGTAACTATATTCTTTTCTCTTGCTGCTTAGAAATTTCTCTCTTTATGTTTAATCTTGGGTAATGTAATTATTATGTGCCTTGGTGTGCGCTTCCTCAGGTACAACTTCTTTGGGACTCTCTGAGCTTCCTGGACTTCCTGGAAGTCTATTTCCTTTGCCAGACTGGGGAAGTTCTGCTTTATAATGTTTTCAAAAAGTTTCCAATTTCTTGCTCTTCTTCTTCTTCTCCTTCCGGCACTCTTATGACTTGGGTGTTGGAGTGTTTAAAGTTGTCCCAGAGGATCCTGAGCCTCTCATTTTTTGAAATTCTTCCTCATTTGGTTCTGGTTGATGTTTATTTCTTCCTTTTGGTCCACACCATTGATTTGAGTCCCTGTTTCCTTCCCATCACCATTGGTTCCCTGTATATTTTTCTTTATTTCACTTTGCATAGCCTTCACTTTTTCCTCTATTTTGTGACCACACTCAACTGTTTCTGTGAGCATCCTGATCACCAGTGTTTTGAATTGTGCATCTGATAGGTTGTCTATCTCTTCATTGCTTAGTTGTGTTTTTCCTGGAGCTTTGATCTGCTCTTTCATTTGGGCCATTTTTTTTTTGTCTTGGCATGCCTGTTATGTAGTAAGGGGTGGAGCCTTAGGCGTTCACTAGGGTGGGGGAACCTGAGTCACAGCATTGTGATGCTATATGTGGTGTTATATGTTAGGGGGGGCAATGTGAATGTTTGATCGACTGCTCTGTCAGCCATTCCCTCTCCAGGTCCTCCAGCTGCCACCCTGCTGCAAGTCCTCACCACCCCAGCTACTGGTTTCAGCCCCTTTACCAGTCTGGATGAATATTTTTACTTAAAACTCCTTGGTTGTGGGATTTTCATATAGTTCAAATTTTTTGGCAGTTCTGGTTATTTTTTGTTTTTATACTTGTTGTTGTCCTTTTGGTTGTGTGAGGAGGCAAAGTGTATTTACCTGTGCCTTAATATTGGCCAGAACTACTATTTACTTTTAACAATTCTGTTTCAGCAGTAGAAAGTCAATATTTTATAATAATTCTTAAAACTCTCATTGAAATTTATTACTTTTTCGGAATGAGGTAGGAGTTAATTCTCAGTGATTTATGAAAAAAATTGTTTCAAATAATATTGTTATCTATTAGCATTTATACAATCTTTTAATCCTGTATTTTGTTATTCTTGTTTCTGTACACTCACTGTTAGTTTAAGGATCAAAAAACAACAAACTAATGTCTACAAAGGACTTAGAAAAAGTATTCATGTCCATAGAAGTCATTATTTTTATGTTGCAGGGTCAATGGAATATATTATAGCATTTAGTTAGGAGGATGGATTTTGAATAATGACATATTCAAATCCTAAACTAGTAATGTCATTTCAGTAAATGTATGTTATCAGTATGACTTCTCAAATATAAATTTCATCCAAATTTTTTCTCTTTGAAATATTAAATGTCAACTATAATTTTAAAAATTTTAAATTTTAAAATATTTTAAAAATAAGATATGTAGCCTGGTATTATAATTGTGCATTTCACATTTCAAAAATAGTACAATTTAAATATTGTCTTTGGTATACTAAAATAATTGTAATCATTTAAAATGTAGATATAAACTCATCAATTATAACTGTTGTTACATTAAAATAGAGTGTGCTAACTTCTTCAGTGATAGTGAATAAAAATTAAGTTAATTAAAATTTTTTTCTCTTTGAATCTGGGAAATACCAATAACCTTTCATGTCAGTGAAAAAGCAATATTTCAGATGCCATGAGATAAGGTGTATGTCCTATTTCACTTTATAGCATCCATTTTCAACCTTTTTTGTCTCATGGTACACATAAACTAATTTTTAAAATTCTGTGGCATACCCAAAAATATATTTTTGCCAATCTGACAAAAAAGTTATAATTGTGATTCACACTGGATGGCTACTGTTGTATTGGCTGTTGTCATTTTTTTTATTTGAAAATCTAAGGGAAAGAGATGCCTCTGATTCTATAGTTAGGTATTGCATGTTTTAAAATTCTTGTGGCACATTGGTTGAAAATCACTGCTCTATAGTTTTGAGGTGTTTGGAAGTGTTAGTGCTTAGTACCAACTTTGTTTACAGACCTTGCACAGAAATTGCTTGATGTATTCAGCATATATAGATGTGTTCAGTGCATACAGAAGTGACAGAACTACCTTTCCACAGGATTTATGGAAATCAAGTCTAAAACTTTTTTTTGCCTCTCAGAGGTGAAAAAGTTTGTGAAAAGCTTCACACCCTAGGTGTAGCCCCACTCCCTTCCACAGTATCCATCACAGAGAAATGACATAGCCTGGGTGAGGTTATCTCCTGTTAGACATTTTGTTCTCACTGTTTTTCTTTTTCTCCTAGAGTTCATGGTGTGACACTAGTTTCTAAGTTTAGTTTGTGGTTAAAGAAGTTATTCAAAGAAGCACATATCACACTGACTGGAAAATTTTCTTGCACATACTTTGGATGATTCCCATCTATTGACCACCTAAATATTAACAACCTTGACTTCTGAGTTTAATTGAGATCTTCAGAAATATTTTTATTTCCTTCCTCCCTCCATCCCTTTCTCCCTTTCTTCCTTCCCTTTTTCTTCTACAAACACTTAACTAATACAAAAGGCATTATTCAATACAGTAAAAGATTCTATGAGGTACCACATAGTATCACCCTTGTGTACCTTTCTATCTGGTGGGGAACCTATGCCTCTACAAAATAAATAATAAGGGATATTTTGTACATAGACCAGTGTTTTTCAAAGTGCAGTTTATGATGTAGTTACAGAGTGATTTAAAACTGATTTGTGGTTTAAAACTGTTTGACTACCCAAAGTCAAATCTCCTCTGTCACCATACACTCAACTTTGGGTGGTGGGCACACAAGGCAATATCCAGATGATGTGTTATAGAATTGTACACTTTAATCCTATATAATTTTATCACCCAATGATGATCCAATAAATTTGACTTTAAAAGAACAATAATAACAACAACAATAACAACAACAAAATCTGGTTAGTGGACCATAGTTAGGCCTTTTGCCAAATAAAAAAAAGAGACAATACTAGAATGATTCACAAATAATCTCATAAACTGTCTGTGTAGGTGTATATGTGTGTGTGTGTGTAAATTTAAATGAAATGTGTGCCAATACAGAATATATTTCTTAGTGTAATTTCAGCTAAAATTTGAAAGATATTGGACAAGAATTTATAAGATAAAAGGTGATGACTGCTGGCATGAGCAAGGAATGTTTCCTGAGAGGTGAATAGGTACTGGAGGTTGAAAAGTGTTTCCCCGCAGGCTAAAGGAGAGAGCATGAGCAAAGGTCTGGAGTGGGAACTTGAGAAGTAACCGAGAAGGCTGCAAATGGTTCTGTTTGGCTGGATTGCAGTATTCTGTGAAAGGGTGTAGTGGATGTTTGGTAAAATTTGGGAGGCCAGATCATAGAGAATCTTGAACACCAAGCTGGGGACTTGGGGCAATATCAATGCATCAGTGGGGAGCTTTGGAAAATGACTAAACAGAAATTGTCCTGTAGAAAAAAAATGATGAGGAAATGATGTGGCAGAGAATGAGAAAAGACACCAGTAGAATTGCACCGAAAGTCCCATTTTTATGTTGGAAATGTCTTCTGCCCTTTTGAAGTCTGCAGGTGAGATCACTGAGTTCCCACCCATGAAATAACTTGAGGTAAATTACAAGGAGGCAAATTTCCAGCCGCTGGTGAGGTAAGATAGAGAGGGACTGGAAGACTTTTCCTCCTCACCATCCTCTTCCACACATATGGCC